CACTATGAGTCGATACCGACTCGATGGCACCTAACAACAACAACCTGGTCTTTGGAGTCCTGGTGTGGTGCTGTGGGTTAATGTGCCAGACTGCAAAGCCGTTTGAACTTCAAGGTCAGTGGTTCAAGCTCACCCGCTGCTCCTTGGAAACCCTATACAGGGTTGCTATGGGTCAAAACCGACTTGATGGCACTTTACAACAACAACAACCCAACCTGGTCTTTGGACTCCTGGTGTGGTGCTGTAGGATAAACACTAGACTTCGAACCACAAGGTTAGCAGTTCAAACCTACCAGCTGTTCCTCAGAAACCCTATACAGGGTCACTAAGAGTAGGAAATGACTCAACAGCACTTAACAATGACAACAATAACCTGGCCTTTGGAACTTAACCATGTCTGTAAGTGAGAAGTGGGTTACTGTGTTTCTCAAGAAGAATATTTGAAAGTATAGGGCATGTGATTGCTAAACAGCCCTACTGTGCAATTTAATGGAGGCAGATAGTGACCTTGGCTCCACATGATACACAACAGACTGCGAACCTCATGTAAGGATGAAACTAAGGAAAATAGACTAGGCAGTGTTTGTTCAAAGTCAGAGAATGCATTGGTTTAACCTGGACTAAAACCCGAGTTTCCTGCCTTATAATCAGTGCTTATAGAAAGAACACAGAACTATTGTTGTTGCTCTGTCATATGCTATCCCTAGATGTGACTCTTTGAATTAGCTCCTCTCTGGACCTGGGATTCAGCCCTTGTTGTGTCAGACAGGAGGAAGTTTCTGTGGGGTGGGGTAAGAGAATCCCCCCAATGCATCAAGGTTAACCACAATAATAATTTTAAAAAATTTAAGCTTTCTGATTCACTACTCTATTTCCTTCAGTGGACGCCAGTCTCTCTGGCCTTCCTTCTAGTCTTCAAACACACCAAGATCTTTCCCTCCAGACAGTCTTTCAATTGTCTGTTCCTGTGCCTGAAACTCCCTTCTGCTGGATCTTTCCCTAGCTGCCTTGTTCTACTCACTGCAGATGCTGCCTCCTTAGAGAAACAGCGTGAGATCATTGTGTCTAAACCTCACCATACTATGCTTTTATCATGCCATTCCGTTTTATTTTCATCATAGAGCTTAGCACATTTGTTTTTACTTATATGCTTACTTCCTTATTTATTACCTATTTCCTGCCTGGAATGTATGGTCTATAAACGTGGTAAACAGGTTTGGCTTGTTTACTGTTATTCCTACAGTTGCTAGAACAGTACCTAACTTATGGCAGTGGCTTAAAAAATAATGGTTGAATATAGTGCTAAGTGAATTGAAGGAAATTTTAAATACTCACCACAAACTGGGCACTAGTGACTCAAAAAAGAAGAGAGATTCTTACCCTAGAGGGATTCAAGGCCTGGTGAAAACAGTTGGTTTTTCTACCCTATTACACAGCCATTAACTTTGGCTGGGCAGCTGGCAGACTCCTGGAGATTCAGGTCGTTTGATTTCCAGAAATAATCATCTACTATGATTCTAGATTACTCATTGATAAAGTGGTTATATCTATTTTCTGGGACAGACTTACCTGTTGTCCTGACTTAATCATTAAGGTTTCCTTTTGCTTTCAATAGTGTTCTGGCTTAGTGATTATAAATCATATGGTTACCCTGTTCACTGATTTGTCAACTGTTGTTGTTGTCAGGTGCCATCGAGTCGGAACCGACTCATAGCGACCCCATGCACAGCAGAACGAAACAATGCTCGATCCTGGGCCAACCTCACCACCGCTGCCACCCCCGAGTCCATCAATGATGCCACCTGGCCGATCCATCTCGTTGGAGGTCTTCCTCTTTTTCTCTGACCCTCCACCCTACCCAGCATGACATCCTTCTCCAACGATTGTTTCCTCCGGACTACATGTCCAAAGTAGGAGAGACGAAGCTTAGCCATCCTGGCCTCCAAGGAGCACTCTGGCCGCACTTCTTCCAAAACAGATCTATTGGTTCTTTTGGCAGTCCATGGCACCCTCAGTATTCTCCTCCAACACCACAACTCAAAGGCATCAATTCTTCTACGATCCTCTTTATTCACTGTCCAGCTTTCGCATCCATATGAGGCTATTGAAAACACCATGGCCTGGGTCAGGCGCACCCTAGTCCTCAAGCTGACATCTCTGCTCTTCAACTGTAATACTTTTAAATTACTGCTACTTAGAGTAGCACGGAGTTCTGATGTAGACTAAATACTGGACAGCTAACCACAAGGTGGGCAGTTCAAACCCACCAGCCATTCCTCAGAAATCCTATACAAGGTTGCTGTAAATATGAACTGGCTTGATGGCACTCAACAACAACAAAGAACAGCACATTCGTTGCATCAATTCAGGAATATGAAAAGGGTCAACTGCCTGAGTTAAAAATCTGAGAAAAGACAGGGGGGACCTGTCCCCTCAGTTCCAATTAGTGAATCCACTAATGAGTACTTATCAAGGTATGTTCAATTGCTTTGAGAAGAACAAATATGAGTTACATGCAAATTATAATAGAGTTCAAGGCTTCTGTATTGTGCCAGAGACTATTCTACAGACTTCACCTGTATTTTCTCATAATTACTATTATGACTTCTATTTTACAGATGAGGAGATTGAGGCTTCAAGAGGTTAAATAACTCAGCCAAGGTCACGCAACTAGAAAATGTGAAATTCATGACCCAAATCTATTACCCTGTGATTTCAGCCTCCAACTGCTGGGCCTATTTGCTTCTCAAATAAGTAAGCAAGGAAACAATCAATGAGATAAATCATTTAATAAAAGTTTCCTGGGTTTCAATAGTTTTAGGAAATGCCAGGTTAAACTAGGTGAGGGGTGTTACCTACTTTTCTATGCTAGTGGTGGTAATAGTGTGTACCACCTAGTCAGTTCTGACTCATAGTGACCCTGTATAGGGTTTCCAAGGTTGTAAATCTTTACAGGAGCAGAAAACCTTATCTTTCTCACATGGAGCTACTGGTAGATTCAAACTGCTGAACTTGCGGTTAGCATTTCTGAAGAGTTTGAACCACCAACCAGCGCATTCTCCTACAGCACCACACCAGGACTCCTTTTCTATAGGATGTGTTCATGTATATAATATTCATGCCCTCACTGCTAACCAAAGGTTGAAGGTTGAAGTCCACCCTGTGGGGGTTTGGGAAAAAAGACCTAGCCATCTGCTTTAGAAAAATCAGCCTATTGAACTCAATTATACTCTGACATATATATGGTGGATCTGAGTCAGAATCAGTTTGATAGCAACTGCTGTTGTAAATCTCCAAGGGATGATACAGAGTCTTTAACTGGAACCCTCTTTGTGATGAGGGGGCTAAGCTCTGCAGAACAAACTTGGGCAAATGCTGCTCGAGGAACCCCAACAGGGCTAGCAACCTTCTGCTCTGTGGGTCAGTCCTCCACCTGTATAAACATAACCCCAATAGATTTTTGAGTCAGGGTCCTTCTTCCTAGTAACTCTACTGCTCTCAACCTACTTTCATTACAGCTTTTAACCACCCTTCATGACAACATTTCATGCACCGTACTGGATTTTCTGGGGGCTTTTTCTGATACTATCTTTTCATTCTGATACTATCCTTTCCATTCCCATGTCTAGAAATCTATATTGTTGTTGTTGTTAAGCATCATCGAGTTAGTTCTGACTTATAGGGTCCCGTATAGGGTTTCTGAGGGTGTAAATCTTTGCGGGATCAGAAAGTCTCATTTTTTCTCCCGCCAGAGCAGCTGGCCAGCTTGAACTACATACCTTGTGGTTCGCAGTCCATTGTGGAGCGAACCATATGGAGACAAACATTGGTTTAGACCTACGCTCCTAGCCATTGGGCAAGGGGCGGTGGTGGTGGTAAATATAGGATTTGAAGATAAAAAAGGAACAGGCTCTTACAGGAAAAAGAACAAATGCTTAGGCCATTTCTAGTGCTCTCTGAGAGTCTTTTAGGCAATGGGGGGAGTACCTGCATTTTTTAGCAAAGTATATTTCTGCCTTCTAGGTCCAGGCTAGGGTACTTTGATTCCTGGCAGGAGGAGGCTAAAAACAAAGGAATGAAAAGATAGTATCAGAATCCCTCAGCTTTCCTCACTGAAATGGGGGCATGTGGGCTGGCTTTGTGTGTGCATCCATGTTACAGGGGGGTTGAGTTTCCAATGGGTTTTACCACTCGGTTATGAGCATCTTCCATTTTTCTTCCTTCTTCCCTTTTAACATTCGCCCCTCAAAACCTTGTACCTCCTCCTGAGTGATTTGAAAGAACAGGTTTTATTACCATGATCCAGGTGAGACAGTTCCCTCTGCTGCAAACAACCCTAGCTTAGATATTGTCCCTTGGCCTAGATGTCTGGGTAGCGCCGTCTTGACTCCATACAATAAGCACTGGACTTCCACCCACAAGGTCAGCAGTTCAAGCTGAGAAAGATGAGCCTTTCCGCTCCCGGAGAGATTCAGTCTTCAGAGACCCTATACAGGTTCGCTATGAGTTGGAAGAACTTCGATGGCACTTATCAACAACTATATACGTATACATTTTTTTTTTTAAATGCGATCCATTAATCCTCTTGTTTCCTACATCTTAAAACGTGCTGTTTTAACTTGGCTGGAAAACGTTTTTGCTCTCACAAATGTTCCCGAGGCTTCAGTCAATCAGTCCCCATTAAGACATTTTTAAAGGAATCCTAGGAAGGACCGACATGTCCCGACTTCAGCTTTCCACCTCCCCCTGGAGTTGTACAGCTCCCATCCATCAGCAACGCATCCTTTCAGTCTTCAAATTGTCTCACTGCCTAAGGTTGGAAATAGATCCCGACAGCTCACCCTAGAGGGCGCACTATTTACATTTTCCACAAGTAACGCGACGGCGCTTGATCCCAGGCTCCATAAAAGGGGAGGAGGCGGGCCAGTTTCCTTCTCTCATTCAGAAAGAAGAGGATTGGAAGGTTGGGCGTATAAAGCCGCGCAGAGAGCGTGAAACAAAGCAGTCGGATCGGAATTGGACTTGGGAGGCTAGGCGTGGAGTCAGACATAAAACTTGGAGGGGAGTAACGAATCTGCTCCTCTCACTCCCCTCCACCCCTGCGCTGCGCTTCAGGGGTTCCCACAGCCCTGCGATTTATTTTTATAACAGCTTTTTATACAGAAAGAAATTTTATATATATATACATTTTTTTTTCTTCTTAAGAGAAAATTCCTGTTTCAAGAGAAAATAAGGCAAGATCAATGAAGGAGAGAAGAGCCAGCCAGAAATTATCCAGTAAATCTATCATGGATCCTAATCAGAACGTGAAATGCAAGATAGTAGTGGTGGGAGATAGTCAGTGTGGGAAAACCGCGCTGCTGCATGTGTTCGCCAAGGACTGCTTTCCAGAGGTGAGTGTGGCCGACCTGGGCTTCCCGGGGGGACGGCTCGCAGGGTCCCCGTCTCAGCGTGGGCTTTTCTTCTGCATACCCTGCTTCACCCCTTTTTCTTTTTTAAATCATCTTTCTCACCCCTAATTACTTTCCCCTCTGGTTAGATTACTGGTAAAGGGAAAGTGAGCAAGAATCGTTGAGGGGTTGAGACGCGCCAGCTTCAGCTGAAAGCTTCTGAAACTTGGTTTTTCGTGTAGATTTGGGTCAACACGTCTCTGAGAGTGGATTGGGGCTGGTGAGACTCAGGGGGTTAGAAAAGGGCCTGTCTGGTGTGGGTGCGGCTTTTGGGGCTTCTAGGTTTTTTTGTGTGTGTTTTTTAATTGGGCAGTGGGGAGGTGATTTTCAGAGGGTGTCCTGAGGGTGCCGTGCATTTTAAGCTAACCTCTGTCTTCTTTCCTTCCTTTCTTATCCATTTATGTTTGTTCAGAATTACGTACCTACAGTGTTTGAGAATTACACGGCCAGTTTTGAAATCGACACACAAAGAATAGAATTGAGCCTGTGGGACACTTCGGGTAAGAGAACACTCGGGCCGCGTGACGCTTGGAGCGGGTTCGCAACCGCTGGGGGGCGGGCAGCGGGTCTCCGGCTCTCGCGCCTGGGCGCTTTCTGCACCAACGTGCGCGCTTCAGCGCTCTTAGGCCCTCAGTTAACTTTACCCCCTTCAAGGGATTCCTGAGTTCCCCGCTGGATGTCAATTTTTGCCCGTTCTGAGTAGGGATGGGGCGGAGAGGTTAAAGAGCGGATAGGAAGGTGCTGTGTACCTGCTGTGTGACCCTGGGGTTGGCGCCGCCCATGACCGGGGGGCCATTTGCCCGCGGGGTCTTGGCCCTGGGGCAATCTGAAAAATTGTCTGCTTGGGTGTGTGTGTGTGGGGGGGTGCATGCAACGCCACTGAACGACCCGACTAGGGTGGGCCATCTCTCCTGGATCTAACCTGCTGGTAGTAGGCCTGGGGCGGGGGTAATGGGAGGAGGGGGAAATTTCCCGAAGCGACGAGGTAACATGCGGAATCCGCGTTTCGGGGCGAGTAACGTGAGCGCAGGCTGCCGCGTAGCTCATGACGCCTAAGGCAAAGAATGCGAGGGCAGCGCAGGGGCGCTGCACACCGCCCCCCCCCCCCCCCGGCTTCCTCTGCGCGCTGTTGGCCGTTGGCGCCGCCTCAGTGCTAACCTGCCTGTCCGAGGCCTTTGGGGATCACGATGTTCCATTTTGTCCACGTCATTCCCGCATGACCCCTACTGAATCACCGCCTGCCAGCTGGGCCTCCAATCGCAGTATTCACCTTTGACCTTGCCGTCCAGTTGAATTATTGGCCCTATGGTGGGTTATTTTCAAGGGTCGTGGGGTTCAAGGCCGGGTTAGTGCTTTCCCACGTGCCCATCCACCAACCTGGCTCGCGTTGGCAGAGAGGGCCAGGCCCCCCGCCGTCAGGAAGGCTTTCAGCGCGCGATTGAGTTTGGAATTCAGTCTGGACACGGGCATTAGGGTCAGAGGATTCCACGTGGAATTTCGAGCTGGGACCCAGGCACCCGCCGCCCCTGCCAACACTACCCTGCGATGAGAAGTGCGGGTTACCAAGATGGGTGTCGCTTGTGGAGGAGGAGGAGCCAATGGAAGGCAGAGCAAAGCCCCTAGTGCTTAAATCTGGGAGTTTTCGAGGGGGCTGGGCTACAGCGTGTGAGCCAAGACAAATCTGGGATGAAACCAGCAAGGAGGAGTGCTCAAGTGCCAGCATGCAGATTTTGCTTTCAGGTTGGGAGGTCCCAAGGTGGAGCAGCGCGGTACTGGGAGTGTCCTCGTGGAGGTGCTTCTGGACTGTTCCAGCTTCCCACAACCCCTGGCTTTAACCTCTGGAACCCCCAAGGGACACCGGATTAGAGAGCCAGAGGAAGGGACCAGACTGACAGGGTCGCCAGAGGCAGTCCCTACACAAAGGCAAGCAGGACGTATCCCAGAGCGCCTTCCTTGGTCCGTGTCAGACTCTCAGACTCCCTCCAACCTTGCCTTGGGCAGCAGAGCCAGGATCTTGGCAATGTTTTGTACTGGGCATTCCATATACAGACTCGCTTTTATAGAGAAGGTGGTGACATAAGGCACTCTAGTGTTTTGTTATTTCTGGAATTCCTATCATTGGAATCATTATACAGCCTAGAACTTGTTAAATGCCACTGACTCTGTTCTGATCTATAGCAACTGGGTTTCCAAGGAGCTGCTGGTGGGTTTGAACCGCTGACCTTGCGGTTAGTGGTGTACTGCTTATCCTACAGCACTACACCAGGAATCCTCAACCTAGTATTTGGTGGACTCTAATTCCCAGGCAATCATGTAGGACAACTGATGCTGTGTTAACAATTAGCACCTGTATTTTACCCCTATAGTAGGTGCCATTTTGACCTAATGGATGATAAGAATTATTTAGGCCTGGGTGGGGCCTTGGGTCTGGTCCAAACATTGATACAGAGCTGTGTTTAGATTTTAGCTCCTGCCTTCCCAGATAATCCCACCTCCCTAAATCTCCTTTTCATCATTTGCAAAAGACACTGGGCAGGATCTCTCAGCTCTACAATTCTTGGACTTAATACGTGGGATAAGGCAAATTGTTGTGTTTCCCAGAATATTGGTTGGCTTCAGCTCCTAGTCCCAGTGGCTTCCAGCACTCTAAACTGGGCAGAGTCAATCTTCCTGATACACATAGGAATAAGACTCTTGGAAAGGGAGGGGGAAGAATGAGTGGATTCGGAAGGAATGCTGGGTTATACCTCCCTTGTCTCAACCTTCCAGAGTCACAGGACCACCAACTGAGATGTTAGATTAGGTGCCCAAAGGGCTAAATTGATTTTTCTTTCTGTTTTTTTTAGGAGAGAAAAGTCACATTGTTTCCCAAAGCCCAGAAAATAATCTTTCTTTTTAAAAACCAGGCAAAGTATGAGTAGTTTATAATTGGACTGTCTATCCTATATGCAGATAAATATCACTTCAGATATTTTCAAGTATACCATCAAAAGTCTATGTGTCTCTGCAACATGTAGTATCTATGCCTTGCACATAGTATGCAATCAAAATCTGTTGCATGAGCAAATGCATAATATAAAAAGTTTCCAAGGAGATGAGATTTTCTGGTATCTATTACCACTTAATGGACTCCTGGTTGTGGCACTGTGGGTTAATGCGCTGGACTGCAAAGTCCACTTGAACTGGTTCAAACTCACCAGCTGTTCCTCAGAAACCCTATACAGGGTCACTATGGGTCGGAACCCGACTCGACGGCACTTAACAATAACAACATCACCACTGAATTACATGTGCACAAAGTCTGAACATTTATAAACACCGCCTTTCATCAAATTAAAGATAATCACCTTATAGGACATCTGCGGTGAAATAGTCAATTGTATTTTCATTTAATGAAACAAAAACTCATGCATGCTCAGCTAAAAATATAGAGGGTTGAAAACTGAGTGAGAAAATATTGTACTACAGAATTATCCAGTAATGAAATCTTGTTTGGAATTTAGATTTCTATAAATGAAAAAAAAAAGGCATAAGGGATTTAGATAGAATTCCATTATGTAGTTCATGAGGTGAAGTTTTACGTAAAGATAGTCACCAAGCCCTTTTAATATTAAGAACATACTGTTTTTACCAAAAATGTTGTATCATTCATGGTTAAAATACATCTAACCACCATTTTATCAGCAGCTAATAGTTTTTAGTATCTTTAACATTTTTCCACTTAATTTCAAGCTTTCTATGACAAATTTCTGAAAACGATTCATTTTTTGACAAATGTTTGACATTTTCTTTGCCCACTAAGACATTTGTTTAGTTCAGGTTGTGGAAATAATTGCATGTGCCTTATGCTTCTTGATCCATTTATTTTTTCCAACTGCTGTCAATTTCGTTCTGGATGGAAGATCCCAGCCAAGTCTCAAATCCTAAATGTCAGATAATTTTTTCTCTCCTGGAACTTTGTGAAAGTTTAAGGTTGTTTATATAGAGAAAAGTGGGCATGCCTAACTTTTCTGATAGAGAGAAATGGCATCAATTGATTTCCTTTGAATGGTAGCATTAACCGTTCTTTCATTCGGCCACTATACTTGAAGTAGCTTCTGGAAGGGGTTTGCTCTCCCCCCACAGCAGTCATGCAATAATGAACAGGTAAAACTGTGCCAATTTAAATGTGGTAAAGAACATAAAGTGAAAGTGTAGGACATGCAGAGTCTATTTGCAACAAGTAAGAACCATTTTGCCCTCAAGTCAGCTCTGACTCATGGTGACCCCATGTGTGTCAGAGCTCCGTAGCATTGCCAATGACTGGTTTTTCAAAAGTAGAGAACCAGGTCTTTCTTCTGAGGCCTCTCTGGGTGGACTTGAACTTTTAAACTTTGGTTAGCAGTCATGTGCTTTAACCTTCACTGCACCACCAACAGGCTCCTGCAAGAACAGGAAGTCATTTGTTTACTTTTGAGGACACAGTAACTTAAAATTTCTTTCTCTTTCCCCTCTCCTTTTTTATGCACCTACTACTATGCTGTGGGTTAATGCGCCAGACTGCAAAGCCATTTGAACTGCAAGGTAGGCAGTTTGAGCTCACCATTTGCTCCTCGGAAACCCTATACAGGGTCGCTATGGGTCAGTACCGACTCAACGGCACTTAACAACAACACTATGTGTTAGGCCTTCTGTTAGGCTGTAATGTTAACTTAAACATGACCCTGCCTTTAATCTTACAGCCTGGGCGAGACAGTGAGGCTGGGAGTGGGGAGAAGCATGTTTTCCTCACTTTGTGTTGCCCATTGCCAACCTATGAGATGTCCAATTTGTACTTGAATTTGAGTGTCCTGTTCCACCTGATGTGTATTCCCTTAACATGCATCCCTAAAGCTTACATATTTTCTTCAGGTAGGAAACATCCTGCTGCATGCACATACTAAGTAGCCACATTGCCCAGCTAGTTTCTTATGGCTACTACAAAAAAAATGCCCTGTGAATACTCCCAGAGTGGGGTAAGTGGTTGGTTAAAGGTAGTCTTTAGATACCCCCCACCTACTGCCATCAAGTTAATTCCAACTTATGTTAAGTGCCGTTGAGTAGGTTCCAACTCACAACAACCCTGTATAGGGTTTCCGCAGAGTGACTGGTGAGTTTGAACCACCAACCTTGTTTTTCAAACCAACCTTGCGGTCCAGTGCTTATCCTAGAATGTCACACTATGGTTTCTAAGACTGTAAATTTTTATGGGAACTGACAGCCTCATCTTTCTTCCCAAGAGCACCAAGTGGGCATCGTGGTTAGCAGCTTAATGCTTAACCCACGGTACCACCAAGGCTCCTTAGCCTTTAGATGTTGTTGTGTGCTTTTGAGTTGGTTCCGACTCATAGCGACCTTGTCAAAGGTTTTCAAGAGCAGCTGGTATATTTAAACTGCTGACCTTTGGTTACCAGTTATTGAACAGTGACATACCAGAGCTCACAGTTTCATAATTTCTTGATTGTTCTGAGAAATGTTTCCT